CAGGTACAACTTAAAGTCCTGACTCCCCCGAGGGAAACGTAAAGTGGTTCTTTAAGGTGCCTTTGAAGAGGTTTGTGTTCATGATATTCATGTCAGGCCAAGGACTTCTGGCTGCAGAAGCAACACTCCATGACATGGAGTGAAGCCTTTTAGTTGCCAATGATCCATATCCAATTGCCAACCATTGATGATGTTTCGGTACCTCAATGGGAGAATATAATTTCAGATGTTTTGTGAAAATTTACAAACTAATTAAACTTTTTTTCACCTATTTATTTAAGGCTGTGTGAAATTTCCTACAATTAAATCAAGATTATGACACAATAAGCTAAGTCTCTCAACAGAGGAACTGAAATCAAAATTCCCTCGCTGACAGTGTAATTACACCCTGTAGTAGTCAGGACAGTCTAAGAAAACTTGCCTTTTCAATCAAAATCAAGACTGCTCTTCACATTTTTTTCCACAGTGTAATGTTACGGCTTCGGCAGTCTAGATGATATTGGGCAATTTTCCAGGTCAGTTCAAAGCCCAGAATCCTGGCCCGTCAGTGTCGGGGCAGGAGTGGCACTCGGATCTGACAGTTGGCACAAAATCTTCTCGGCTCAAAACTGCGGAGCCTGGCCCGCTGGACCAATGTGATTTATTTTTCTCAAACAACTTAGCTTTTGTCTTCGCAGAGCAGTCATTTATTCTGAACTGCCCACATTGGGCAGGATTTTAAAATTCCTGTAGTCTGACCGAGGCTCAAGTAAAAATAATGACATTCTTTTGAGTTTATCTTCTTTATTTCTCTGTGTACAGTAGATGACATTTTGGAAGTGATTTATCTTCAGAAGTAGACTGACTTAAGTTGTCGCAATGTTCTTTACAATTTTTACTCCACATTTAGTGATGTATATTTGAAAAAAATCTATAAATATTTTGTAATTTCTCCATTGATGCCATTAAATGGATTAACTCATATCAAATAAACAGGACGCAAAGTGTGTATGTATTGGCAATAATCAATGAACATACCTTAACGATAACATTGGTATTCCCAGAGGATCAATACTGGGCCATTTTTGTTCAGCTTGTATAGTAATGACCTGCTGCTATTCTGTCCATCCGTCAACATAAAAATGTATGCTGATGACACAGTTATTTTTGTACGTTAGGGTTGGGCCGATAAACATTGCCCCCCCAAATTCGTGTTTAAAAAGGTAGCCAGTCCCATCAAAATCAACATGTATTTATGCATGCTATGCTCATTTCCCACATGGCACTGTTTTACAAGTTGGTCACAAGCAAGCACGACAGCTCTGAAGCCAACTGAGTCCCTTCACAAATAGACATTAAAAACAATTGACCAAAAGGCCAGTAGCCATAACCACTGCCTTTTAATACAAAAATTTATTTAATTTGGAGGGCCCCTCTCCTGCTGAGTCAGTTCATAATGCAGAAGGAGAGCAGCAGCAGAGCAAAAATGGCAACTACCAAAGGGGACTGTTTTGTACAATACAGACATGGCAACTTTGGGCTAATAGTCATCTCAGTCAGAGCCATTCACTACTGGAACAGTCTGTCTACCTATCGAATTAAGAGAGAGAACTAATTAACTAACGTTTAAACATAAACTTAAGATATGGCTTAAATGGGCTGTATGTAGTTTTTTTCAATGAAATTATTTATTAATAAATCAAATTTTCACTGCCTTATTGTAAAAGGGCCCAAACTTCACCTACAAATGAAGCACACATCTGTTTACTCTGTTGCGTGCATCAGCCTCTATTCTGTGCGCTCGCGAGGCACTCTCAGACTACAGTGACAACACCGCAGCTAACGACAAGCAGTCCACTAGCACCACAAAACAACCAGCTCCCAGCACAACATAAACTCCACGTAAGGATAAAAACAACAATAAAGTTTTATGTGCTGAAGCCCATCAGGCCAAACGAGAATCATATGATGTCGAGTAAAAACACAGTGAACATCAGAAAGGCTGGAAAAACATGGAGAGAACCACGTTAGCTCACCTGCTAACGCCAAGCTAACGTTATCTGGTGCAAAGTTGTATCGCTTTCCACATTAGTACACCAACTAACACAATCCATATAACTATCCTGTGTACCACAGGTATTATGTCAAAGTGTTGATTTAGCCTGCAAGAAAGAATGTAACTGTAAAAAACAAATTTTGAGCAATTTGTTTACTAGCCTATAGAAAGAGGCTAACAGCAGAACATTTTTTTGTATACTATTTTATCACTAAATATTCTTTTGAGAAGTTTTGAATCGAAAAATCAACTGTGTAGAATTTGAAAATTGGCAGTTTTACAAAAGTTGATGGCAAATTGAAAACGTCTTCTTTCGGGTTTGAGAAGCCACACAAGCACCCGCGGTGCCAGCCGGCCGGCCAGTCACGCCCATAGAGCCCTCTGGTCCCAGCTACTCAGACCAATGCAGCAGCAACGACAGAGCAGCAACGACAGAGGAAAAGCCACAACTGTAAGACAGTTTCATTGTTTGTACCGCTGTTATTTTGTCTTTACAATCTGAGTAACATTAATGGTTTTTACATTTTAAAGTAAATCAAGAAACATCTGGCACGTGATGTAGCCTACAGAAAATTCATAAGCATTTTGGAAAAATAAACTACAGAAGTAGTATGAAAGGGGGCTGTTGATTTATTATTCTACATAGACATTACATTGTTAGTGTACAGTTGTGGTTATAGTACTTGCTTTTATTTATATAGTTCCAAAGCAAAAATCTTTGTTAAAAAGTTAAGCGTTTTAAAGTAAAAACCTGCTTGGCAATAAATCAGATTGTGAGCTTATTGTTTTGGGTGATAAAGCCTGGCTGTTCTCTTGGACTAGCCTCTCCATAGTTCTTTGCATTCTTGGTTTTGAGGTCTAACGGATGATTCTGGCTAAGAGAACGCTCTTTGTGCAATAGTAAACCAGTGAATTATGGGAGTATCCTACCCTGTCTTGTCTTCTTCCCTATTTTTCCCCTGGCGTAGATTAGTAGTTAGTAGTATTGATTCTGAATAGTAAACTTTGTTCACTTAATGGTAACGTTAGCTAGTTAGGCTGTGTGTTGGACATCAGTAATTCCCTTGAAAGCTATTTAATTAGTTAAATTATTTAATTAGGGCTAGGGGGAGACAAAAATAATTGTGACTAGTCGACTAATTGAATAAATAATTAACAGATTAGTCGAATACGAAAATAATCATTAGTTGCAGCCCTATTTTATATATGTCAGTTTCTTCTGTAATGTATTGTTTTGTACTGTGACATTAGGCATGACCTCAAGCACTAAAGCCTAGTTCACACTACACAATTTTTAGCCCAATTTACCCGTCGGAGAGCTCGGTGACCGCCAGGCTGTGATCGGGGGGTAAATCAGCGGTCGGTCTGCAGTCGTTATGTGTGAACTACACAAAGACGCATCAAAATGGCTCCCTGACATTTCACTGGCACATCGCCGACGCCAGCCAGTTATCTAGCATGCCTAATATCTGGAGGAGTCGGCCAACTCAACATCCACATCCAGCCAATGAGAGCAGGCAGCTGACGGAACAGACAGCACTTGTACTTGTAGACCTTCTTTGGGTAATTCAGTTAATTTAGAGGTTTGCGTCATTTCCCGCGGGTTTTCTTGACAAAAGCGTGGTTTGGAGTCCAGCGTCGGGTGACACAGCTGCTGTCAGCTCGTGTCCTGTGCGACCCCCTGTCACCGATCAGTCACGTAGTGTGCTCATTAGCTATGTGTGAACTAAGATGGTTATCAATGTGCTTTGTTCCTAGTAAAAAAAGGACAATAAAAAGAATGAATAATTGCTGGGAATGCTATGCTCACATTTTGCAGGAATATTGTGGTAAAGCAGACATTCAACTAAGCAGGCTAGCAGGTGACACAGCCAGAGGTCATTGCCTTGATTGATTGATATCTTTATTTTGAAAATGTAAATGTCTGGGAGACAATTTAGTTTGAACGATACAGTAACATCAATGTCTCCATGCTTTGAGAGTGGGTCCAGACAGGGCCTACACAGACAAGCAGCACTGTATACAAAACTGTGTGAGACCACTTGTCTTTTGATTAGTCAGCAGCATAAGTTGTGCCAAAGATGAATAAATATGTGCCAAAAGGCTAAGACCAAATGCCAAGATTTGTAATCACGAGCCATGTCCCATTTTTTGTTTGTTTCTTGTTTTAAATGATATAGCCATGCATTTGTCTTTTACTGCCATTTGATACAGTTTGAGGAAAAATAATTTCCTTTTTGAGTGTTGTAAATATTCGCAAGGAGGTCAATAGCGTAAGGTTAATATTTCTCCCATATAGCTGTGAAATTCTTTCTCAAACATAAAGATAATAGAAATCATATACTGCTGGCCTAAGGCCATAACAAGATGGATTTTGAGAGGATGCCTCTCTCATCAGAACAACACAGGATTCAAGAATTAGCAGATTAACATAAAATACAGATGACACTTTATCATTGCTCAACCTACACATACAGGAGTTATGAAGACGAATCCCATTAAAGTTGTCCAATATGATTATAGCTACCCTAACATTAAATACATTTCTCAGTTTCCAGTTATTTTCCATGCATTTTCTTACAAATCTTACAAATTGTTGCCTGGTTATTTCATCTACCAAAAGATTCTCATGTCATTATCATTATATAAAACAACATGTGGCTTGTGATAGAGTATTTTATCCATGTTACCCACTCTTACCTCGCATTCAACTCATGTTGCATTTAACAAAGTTGTATAATACAATGCAAGAGAGGCCTTGCTAATTACGAACAGCTAGTTCAGATTGCGCTAAACTAAAGCATTAGCGTTTCAGTTTAGCAACACCAAACATAGCGGACATTTGACTTACTTGCTGTCCAGTAATAAGCAGTAGTAAGCAGTCCAGTAATTTAGCTGTCCTTACATGTCGACAGAGAGTCGATGCTAACCCAGTTAGCTAAAGTTAGCTCAAGGAGACACTCACCACTTCTTTCGCCTTCGGAGAGAAGCCACTCTTGGGTCTGCATTTCTTGAGAATTTCATCTTTGGTGGAGTCAAAGCATATTCCTATCGCCTTGTTCCTGGTTTTCACTGTCTTGACACTGGCTTTGAAAAGTAAAGTTCTGTCCATAGCCATGGCTGTGCAGAGCTGCGGCGCAGGCACCGCTGTAAACAAACTGACACGTCACCAAGTGAGGACGTCATTCTCTTGCGACGCTGTGAATTTTCCCTGAGACGGAGAAGAAAGCCTTACACTTTACCTTAAGGTTTGATCTGTATGTATTTACGGTTGCGGATACTGTACCTCATCGTATTTACATCCTGCGAGCGTCTGACCTGGTATCACGTTGCTCTTCGCCTTGATTGAGTTCCAGGTAGCGAAAATCTTAAAATTTCAAATAATCTCTTAAATATAATAACTTAAGTTGAAAAAGACTTAACTGGAAGGGCCATTCAGTTAGATGAACATGTTTATTATCATAGTTCAATTCTTCATTTCTGCACTGTATTCAAGTGCTATAAGGATTGTAATAAGGACCAAATGCACATACAGATAATCAGTCTGTGTCTCTCAGGAAAATACCCCTACAACTTGAAGGAATGTCCAGCAGGAAGCGAAAACCCAACTGGACGGACCAGGAGTGTCTCCTTCTTGCTCAATTAATGCAGGAGCGGAAAGACATAGTCCGAGGCAAGTGCAGCACTGGAGTTTCAATAGAGGATAAAAGACAAGCCTGGGAGGAAATAGCCCAAGCCATCAATACTGCCTTTCCACAGGTTCAGCGTACAGTTTCTGACTGTAACAAAAAGTGGGAAAATCTTCTGGCAAAGTCAAGGGAGGAGATCAAACGCCAGAGAAGACAAGCAAGTACAGGTGAGGACAATGTGCCATGAGTCCATATAATTAGGATGATTAAATCTACAAACTAAGACTGGTGAAATAAGCCGAGACCTTGATATGTGGGGATGACTGCAGGAAAATGAATTAAAATCCTAGAGTGAGATATAAGCAAATCCACATCATCACTGTTTGTGTTTTATTTATTGTATTTAATATTAATCAGTGCATGGTATGCTTTTTCGTTCGCAGACGGCCTGTCCCATGAACAATTCAGTACTGTGACTCAAGTAGTGATTTCTGTGATGAACCTCTCAGACATGCTGCAACAGGATAGAGACGACTCTTCAATTTCAGAGTTGGCGGAAACTCAACAAGACAGGTAATACATTTTTTATTTGTTGCCTTCTCTCATGTGTCTAGACTGCATCAAATCAGAACTTTATTCTGTGCAGTAGTTTCTTGGAAATATGTATCTGTAATTGGGGTCTGTTCACCTAAATAAACAATAAACAAAAAGCAGACAGTATTTTCTCACTTAGTCACACTTAATGTCTTAATGATGAAAACTGCCCACACTGAGGTCTGTGGATTATTTAGAGTAACAGGAAAATTGTTTCTGGAAAGAGATGCCATTCATTTATAAAAATTTAACTAAAAATAATCTGTTCACCTGCACTGTACTGGGGTGGAATCTCAAAAGTATTTACGTGGATGGATACCAGTAGAAGCAAGTGAGAAAAATGTTATTTCTTTTCTAATTTGGATGAACAAACCCTTTTTCTGTTCAGGATGAAATGCAAATTCTTGTAATTCAATTCAGCCTTTCCCCCCCCAGCCGTGACGAAGACGGACATGACCACAACATAGATGAAAGATTCACAAACAAACATCCACTGAGAGAGCTCGAGCTTCCTACATATCCAAATCCATCCACTCCTCCAACACAACCAAATTTGGCCGCTTTTACTAATGTCCCTAAATCCCCCGCAGTGCAGTTTAGTACTCATTGTGCTGCTGGCTTCACTGCTTCTGCAGAGCGACTACGTACTCCCTGCTCTACGTCTCCACCCTCAGTACACTGCACAACTTTGCAAGAACGAATGGATTTGGAAATGGCTGTGCTGAGAAGACAAGAGGCAGTCCTCAAGCTTCAAGAGGAATATTACACACTAAAAATAAAGCTGATGAAAAAGCAAATGGAAGGGCCACATACAAACAACTGAAGTAGTTGTATATACATTGTATTGTATAAACATGATTTTGTGTTTAGCTGAAGTCGTCAGTGTTCTCTTTAAAATAAAATATCTCTGTTCATCTGTTTCTGTATCTCTGTTTAAGGCTATGGTCCAACAGCAGTTTTGTCTGCACCAGGCATCCAGGCACCCGTATGACAGTGAAAATGAAGGAATTCATCATGTTTGGTTCCTCACTTTACCTTATTACCACTTCAGAGTCTCAGACTGATAAATTACTGCAATATAGTATAATAAAAACTGTAATGAACCAGATTTAATTTGTTTTCAAATACACCTTTATGATCATATCTAGGGTAAAATATAGGTTTTGTGTAAATCATTTATTGCTTTGAATACTGTTTTTGTGGACTGAAAACACTGATCCGATTTTGCGGATAGTGCGGATCATAGTTATTGAAATACAATGATGAGCGTATAGCTTATACTTAGTACAAAGAGAACAAATGGCACATACACACACAAAAGTTCATATAACCTTGAAATATTTCCACAGGTGAATGTCATGTGCCATATAACTGAGGAATTAAAACAATTAACTTCTTGAAATCACATGTTTTCTTTGTAGGAAGTATAGTTTAGTTAAGTCCAAGTACAGTTTTACACTGTGAGAAATGTAGTTTTTTACTTACTTTTTAGTTTTTTTACTGATTCATGCCATTTACTCCTAAGTGGGAATTTGGAAGCTGTAAATGTTTGACATATACCAATTTACATATTTATGAAAATTGAACTTGGTCATTCCAGTGCAAGTAAAGCTAAAATAATGTCCTGTCTAGACAAATGTAGTAATTTGTGCGTAATATTTTTCATAAATCCGTTTATTTGTAAGTGACTGGGTTTGGCACCCAGATGTAAGCAGTGGGGCCCAGAGTGTTGAATAAAAGTCTGTTATTTGCTGTGTGGTTTGCTCATTTCCTTTGTTAGTGTTGTGCCAGACTGTGTTACAACTGAGTGCTGTGACTGTCTCTCCTTTTCTGCCTCCTCAGCATTAACTACTCGTCATTTCTTTTTTTTTTTGACTGTGGAAAGAGAGCAGCTTTTCAAGGGCCAAGGTTATGGGCACAAAAAGGCATGACTGCCTTTATGTTACTTATGTGTTGATATGAGGAGTCTAACACTAATTGCGCTTGCTGCAAGCATGTACTGTACTGGGCTAGAATGGAAAGAAGGATGACTGGCTGCTACTTCAACAACTGATTTAACATAAATATGTTTCATAGAGTGACTGTGTGTTCATTCATATGTTGAAAGGCCATCTTTTCTCAGATCATGTTTATCCTCGAATACAGTAGTTCCCAACCTTTATTGTCTGATGTACCCATACAGACCAGCTCAAGTCCTCCTTCACCTCCACCACTCAAATATGTTCTTATCAGTGGATTATAAAATGGATGTTATTTAACATTATTAATGATATGAAAGTGGATAGTGTCCATTTGTGTTAGCTAACTATTTCTGTTTATCCATTACTTTTTGCTATTTCAACTGTTATTCATTAGTATAACTTTTTAAACCATGTATCCATTAATTTGAACAGTTTTGAACCATTTATACTTTGCATTACTTTTAACTAACTATTATTTCAACTTCCGTGCCCACTTGCTTTCGCACTATCAATTGCAACACATTTTGTTTATGTGTCACAACTAACTCAGATTGATGGGCAGCTTACTGGTTACTGTAAATAACTACAATTTGTAAATCAATTTGGCTGTCTTTTTTTTTTTATTTATTTAAAAAGCTAAAGGTACCCCCTTGGGTACAGGTAGCCCTGCTATAGAATCACTTCTCTAAAAGTCTTTGTTCTGTTTCTTGTACTTCATTCATAGCTGTTCTGTTGTCAAGCCATCTTTATTGTCATTGTAAGAAATCATGTAAAATCCAAACGTGCCGATTAAGCAGACTACTAAAGATATATGATGATGGCACAACAGACTAAGCATTCTTTATAGGCATTCTTAGATACTATCTGTCTCCTGGATAAAGCGTCAGTGACGGTATCCATTCCTCCCATCCCTGACAGATGAGCCATGTTTTGGAGTGTCCTCTGGCCAGTCCACTTAACTGCCTGAAAAGGAACCCCTTAATCTCCACTTTCTCTTTGTTTGGACTATTATCAGACCTGTCAGTCCTGGCTGCTTTATCTTCACAGAACTCATCTACTGACTGCTGGACGTTGGCTTAATTCTATCAAAGGCCCTTATCTCTGTTTTGCCTGAGGATGCATCCTTCCTCTGACTCGTTAGACTAGTCCCAGCTCTCTTATTGGGGAGAATAATTCTATTTGTGTACAGGCTTTGTGATGCATGTTACTGGCTCATTAGCCTTGTGTTTTCCTGTTGTGTTTTCCCCTCAGTGTGCTGTATTTTCTGTTTGCATTGTTTATTACCGAGTGTAGTCTTGAGCCTGAGCTAATGACACAATGATATCCCATCAACCACCACTGATCCAGATTTGAGATAGTCCCCTTTGGTGGCAGTTAACGCTCTGTCTTTTGGCAGGAGTCACTTGAAACAGTCTGAAGGAATGTCATGCAGCTTGATCTGATGAAGAGCAATTACATGGGAGGGAGCCGTTGCCTTTGAGGTGGGAGCTTACCTGCCACACCCTGCAAGCTTACAAATAAACCTCTGGACACGTTCCAAACATATCAGAACGGTCCCTATTCTTTGCGCCCTTGTCCTCATGACATTTGGTCAGACAGGATTTGACAGGTGGGGGGAGAGATGAAAGCGTTGGCCAAGACGGTGAATTAATAATGAGATGAATTAGAGCCCAGAAGAAAAGATTTATGGAGTTGGTGCCAGGATAGATGTTTGACTCAGGTCCTCTGAGTTTCTTTCTTTGCCTCATGACGTCATGTTAATTGAACAATAAACACTGTAAACAATAAACATTCTTCCCATTTATTGTCAAACAAAACTAATTAAGCAAAATACATCTTGTTATTTTAATGTAGGCTGGATGATACTGTGTATAATGTATGGCTGTTAACACTTCCTTGCCTGTGTGTTAGACTGTTAGAAAAGGATTAGGTTCATGTGTGGGTATTTCTCTGGGTCTCTCTTCTGTGCATGGGTTTGCATGTCT